TTGATTCAAATACATGTCACCTGCAGTTATGACTCTAAATGGACTGAATATCAAATAAAAAAGAGTCATGTTGAATATAAGACGCGACGGTATTTATCAGATTTCGACGTCTGATCGTTTTCCTCATCTTACTTTATTTTATAAATAAAAGCCTGAAGGAGTTATTAGATTCTACTTTGCAGCTCAAATACAATCATTCAGTAGATGTACATTCTAGTTGAGTAATATTCAGATGGATCACTTGTTAATTTTTCAAACATTTAGGAATATGGCGAAATGGATTCACCGCCAAATGCCCGCCCTTCCCCCAAATCAAACTTGTGGCTTTGTCATTGTCCCCAAGGAAGGGCACCCAATAACAACATACAGTACAACAGTCTCTCATTGAACAATTGGACATAAACAACTATCTTTTTGCTGTAAATCTGTCGACATTTTATGCCGTTTAGATTTTAATATATATATATATATATATATATATATATATATATATATATATATATATATATATATATATATATATATATATAAATATATATATATATATATATATATATATATCTACCTATTTCATTTCGTACGAGAAAAAAAAAATTACAGCCTGAATTAAATATCCCAAAATTTGTTTCCTTGTAGCGGGTTTGATTGGCAATTCCTTGATTTTTCACAACGTCTACCAAAGGATAATTGGAGGACAGTCATCAAATAGAATGAAATTTAATAAAATCGAATTATTTTGTAAAAATTATATTAATTTGGTTACGTTTCTTGTTTATTGAAAATAATCAAGAGTTAGTTTTGACTGTTTAGTTAGGCTGCTTGGGAGTCAAGGAGTTATTATTAGGCTAAAAACTCCATGCTCAAATTTATGGCCAGTGACAGTCTTATATAGCATGGATGGTGATCTATTTTTGTGACTCATAAGTAATCCTGAATTGCTTTAAACCTTTAAAACAAGTGCCAAAATTGATACTGGATGACAAAATGTATCCGGTTGGCTACGACGGGTATACTCGTTACAGGTAGTTACATTGTGTTTTTTTTTATGATAATGTGTGAACAGAATTTAAACAAATATATATTGAATTTGTATTTGTCTGTCTGTTATGGCATTACATTTATTTAAGGATTGGGTTAGACGTTTATTCACATGCGGGGGGGGGGGGGGGGATGGCCCACCCAATTTTCCTTTGTAGGGTCTGTTCTATTGAAAGTTACCATACAGCCATTACCAAATGACTGGTACCTCAAGGAAAACATCCACTGTTCAAAGTGAAATCTTTTCACCCCTTGCTTAACCCTAAGTGTATGTTATATTATATTTTTTCTTTTAGGAAAAGAAGCAGTGATCGTGGAATTTTTACATTGAAGTAAATTAATTCTATCTTTATTCAACAATTGCATTATCTGCAACTGAACGGGGGGGGGGGTGCGGTTGCATTGGCATAGACGATAGGTAAAGGAAATAAGGACGACATAAAATCTTGAAATATAGGTTGAATTCTGGAGCTTGTGGTAGCTCTTGGCATGCCTGTAGCTCGGCAGAATGTTTACGTGTCGGGAGATAAACTGTGATCCAGAAATCGAAAGTACACGTCTCTCAAATCTCAATAATCTTGGTCAAACGAGTCGGCTCTTTCTGGCACAGAACTCCTTTTGGGTGAAGAAGAAAGAGAAAGAGAGAAGAGGTAAAAGGGGAACGTTTGACAATTTGAAGTGCAGGTACTACAAACGACAGACGTCGAAATGAAGTGGCCCAGAAATACGAGAGAGATCTAAGCACCCTAAAGGAGGCAAAAGAATGTTTGCGTAAAGCAACAAGAACGCTGCGACTTTCTGTAATGCTGTTCTGTAGGTTTTCTTCTCTTAACTGCCTGTTTCATAAGGAAAATTACAGACATTTGGCCTCGACTTTAACCTTTAAACATCTTCATGTATGTAGATAAATATGACGTAACAGTACAAAAGTTTTAATTGTAACCATCACCCCTTCCCCTTTGTGATCAGAGTGTTGTTTTAAGTATATTTTTAATAATATATCAGACAAAATTGAAACGCCTTCAGAATCAATTGTGGTTCAAAATAATAATCTTTAGCTCTATTTTCTACAGGCAATCACAAACAATCGTCGTGACATGCTGAGGGTTAACTTCATAACATCTCCGCCCCTTGGGTAGTTTGAACATTGTCTCCCTCATGCGGCCTACTCCTGCCCGAACAGCAGTAGTCTTGTAACATGGACCCTTCCACTAATATGTGCTGACCGGTAAGGTTGAAATTTAAACGCTGCATCGCTGATACCTTAATAAATAATAATAATAACGTTGGTTATAAAGCGCTTACCACCGAAGTCTCTAAGCGCTAACCTTGAAACATTAATTTTCATAATTTACAATAGACCTATGAATTACCGTTGAAATAGGACCAAATTATTTTTTACTTCATGTTGTGATTCAGTCTATCATTTTTAATATACATGTAGTTGGCCTAGTTCTTTTAATTCACTGGAGATACATTCCTAAGTACCGAGACGGATACCTTAACAAAATGTGCAAAATAAATAATTTTGCGTTATTTGTCATGATAACAGTATACGTATATGCGTAACAGATTATTTGCAGTAAATGTGATTGTATATTAAAAAAAAATTAAAAAAAAGGATTCATTGTAGCAATGATTGATAATTTCGACCACAAAGTAACGCCTTCTCGAGAGAAACAAGAGCATTGTAATGTATGAAGAATCTACTTCATCATAACAATTCAGCGAATAAGAGATTTTTGCAAGTTTCCAAAATTTCTTTAACTTAACATCATAACATTCCTTTATACATGAATACATTCTTGTAAATGTATTATTTCCACGTGAGTTCCCATTGTTGCTCGCATTTTAGTATTCATATAAAGTATATAATGATACCTGGGTATATTATTTTATTACGTTATTGTAAAAGTTCATTTACATAACTACTATGAATGGACTAAAAGAAGACAGAAGAAGGGAGAAATATCTGACACACCAATATAAACTTAATTTCATGTAGTGTTATGTAGAAACAAGCATACTTGTATTGTTTCGTCATAATTTGATTGTTCCGTGTGTAATCATGTTTAAAAAGTCCGATTTATGTTGATCTAGATCATAATGATAATGATGATGAGGATTAAAAAAAAATCAATGAACAAATAAATGAATAAATGAAAAAATAAATTAATAAATTAATACCTAAATTTCGACAACGAGAACAATGACTTTACTACTACTCCTTCAGTTTTCAGGCTGTTTCAAATATTTACTACCCGATTAATTCTACTTAATACAACGAAATATTATTAAAAGACTATTGATTAATCAGTGATTTAAATACTCCTTCGAAGAGTAAGAACATTTGTGTTCGACGTGCCACGGTGTTATCATGATAACAAGTCTGAGTTATGTTGGTCTAGATAATAACGATTGTGATTAATAAACGAATGAATAAATAACTAACTAACTAATTAAATAAATAAATGAAAAGACACATATACTTTTACAACAAGAACAGGAATGACTACTTTTACTACAACTACTATCATTACCTGCTACATGTACCATTGCTACTACTACTACTACTACTACTACCACAACCACCACCACCACCACCACTACTACTACTACCAGGCCTGACTACTACTACTACTAATACTATTACGTCTACATGTATTATTGGCCTACTGCTTTTAGCATACGTCATCAGTAAAAGATGAATGGGATTTTTGAAAAACAATTAAAAGACCACAAAAACATCATGATGTGTTTGATAATGATAACGATGAGTAAAAAATCTACAAAACAGAGCACCAAAACTAAAGATAACTGCTGTACTTTCTCGATTTCATGCACCCAAATTTACAATATATTTACACCTAGCTTAAACAAGATTAATGCCAAACCAATAACCAGTCATTAAACTAGAAATGGGAATTTATTTTGAAAAAGATAAAATTGGACACAGAAAAAGCGAGAATGAATAATGGAGGATGGGCTATCGCAAAATGTAAACAATAAGTTGAACGAACTTTTTCACCTGCCCCCAAAAGAATGCTGCGCGCATTATGTCGGCAAACACAAAGGATAGGTACATCCATGTTAAATCCAAAAGAAGAAAAGGCCACGAAAAGGCCAGAGAAAAGGCAAGACTTAAGCAGTTTGTCCTATTATTTCACTTAATTATCAGCATTCTTACAGTCTACAAAGAATTGCATCTTTCATGTCAATATTTAATTTCAATTTAGGCTGTGAGTAAAATATATCCACCTATTTTGTTTATTGAAAACATGGGATTAAAAACTGATTATCAAATTCAAAGTGATGTCCCTCGAGCTCAAAGTGGGCCTAGTTTATCGCGCATGTGATTTGAGAGTTGCGTATGTGCGCGCGCGCGAATGTAATACAATCTTGACGAGAAAGCACGTGGTGAATCGCACACTTGTAAACATTGCATTTCATTCATGCTATGCATCGGCGTCAGCTCATTCACATGGGCTTCCAAGAAAAGGTGTCCGTATGCCAATCAGCTGATCGCAGGTGCGTGCCTACCTGAGCGGGAGATCCGAAACAAATAGGTGTAAATGACTCGCCAGACCCGACTGCACTATGACATTCATGCTCAACATACCCCTAATTCGAGACATCAGACAAACCCATCACATCATCGTTGTGTGTGATTGATATACCATCCCTGTAGGCGCTTGCAATTCAAAGCAAGCGATATTTTCTGGGCCATTTTTCGCATTTCATGTGCATTGCTTGTACGAGTCACATTGTTTACTAGCTTTTTCCCCTCGTGCTAGCGGAACAGCCCAGCGAGGCAGGCGCCCGAGTAGCGGCCTACTGGACCATTACGAATCGCACTATGCCCGCTGCCTGGATGTCGCCTTGCATAAAGCGGCTCAGAGTCATTTACGGGTAATTTGATAGTTATAAAGCGTAGGTTGGGTTTCCGACGATGATCTATCTTCGCCAATCACGAGAGAGAAGATAAGCGACACCGGAACCGCGGCTCCCCCTCTATCGCATAATGTGCTACGTTGAAATAAACGAACAAACTAACACGTCCTAAATCCTAAAACAGGAGTCATGAAGCATTTCTACCCTCGATATACTAAGTAATGTTTTATATCAAGAGAACAGTTGCCTCAGTATTGATTTCTTTAACCAAATGAACTGCTCAGAGGAAAATTTATTCCCAGTAATTAGGCGTGTGCCTTGTACGACGCAGAGGGAGGAAGTCCCATCGCTGGCAAAGCGCCGAGTTATTTGCTCAACAATCATTTCAGACTCGAGCCGCGCCAAAATGTCTAGACATCCACATGACCCAAGTCAACCAATCAGCGTAGAAGTAATCGTGTGGTCAGAGAGAGTAGTAAATTTCGTATGTTTTTCGCGTATACAGCGAGCATCTTTGCGAATCGTGAGCCTGTGATCGAAATCTCGCGCAGCTTCGTTATACTGCACAGTAAGCTCTATTGCGACGGGACGGGCTGGTGTATACTGTGTATTCTCTACCGGACTAGTTACGGAATAATAAGTATAGGCATCTGGAGAACCGTAAACTGTATTCAGTGGATTACACTAGAGAAATTTTGTGAGCTGTCTTCGTATGCACTGCCGTATTTTGTCTGAGTTTTGATTAATCGTCGACGAATTGTGTGGATTTTCATCGTTTTTTCAACGTTTGATGCTGGATTTTATACACATGCTGGAGTGGTGCGGTGACGGGCTTCGCTGCCTGCTTGATCGGCCTTGTATGCTGTCACTGCTATAGCCAAAGGAGCTGTTGTGTATTCTTTTGCCGTTTTGGCCAGTGCCACAACGAGCGACCTAAGGAGGAAAACCGCCGTTTCTCCGGCGCTGGAATGCTTATTCTCATCCGAGTCTGTGGGCTATGCATCGTGTGCATGCAGCGCATGTCGCATGTTCAGGTCCAGGCGGTCTGCGCTCGTGCGGCGACTTTTGCGGAGCCGTGTGGGCTGTACACACGGTAACGATAGTGGGTCTTCGGCCGACCGGGAGAGTGAGGCCGAGACCGACCTCAAAGCAGCCGCCAACAGCTTCCTAAAACGCCTCAAGGAAAAACAACTCGAGCTTTTGCTCGAGGCATTGGAGAGTCGTGGAGGGACTCATACAAACTGTGTCCCCATCTCGAAAGGGGAACTTGGACGCAGGACCGTTGCTCCTCATGTTTTATGTTGCCAGCTATTTCGTTGGCCAGAACTCAAGCATGGAAGCGAACTCAAACGGCTCAAATTTTGCTGCGAAATTAGCCAACAAGGCGACGAGGAATCCTCAGGAACAGTGTGCTGCAATCCCTACCATATCAGCCGTCTATGCAGACCAGGTAAAAGATCTCAAATAATGTAAATCAATTGTAAATAAACACGATATCATCAATACATCTCATTCTCATGCATTGTTATGTATCTCAACAAGGCCCGACGAATTAATTTAGCCTCCATGCACGCAGTGGGCATTGACCATGCAATGCATGCAGGCGGCCATGGCACGGCGCCTGTACTCCTGAATGCTGCCTGCGCAACTGGCTGGCCTCTATTGAATCTCGCATCCAATTTAGCGTGATGGCGCCGCTGTATTTATGTATTTATCAACCCGGGCCTTTCGCCTCAATTAACGCACTTACACTGCATCTATTCAGTCGCGCTTGCTAGGATGGCGGTGCTACTCATTCAATGACGATTTTTTTTTTATTTCTTATTCTCAACTTGTGCTTTGTTTTTCTTTCACATATTTACAGAGTCTCCACCACCACCCTATAGCAGAATTGCGTTCGAGAGGTCCAAAACGCAAGGTATGAATGGGTGAAACCTAATTTTTTTTTTTGCTGTCCCAAGGCCAAGTGGCAAATCCAAACAATTCGGATATGATACATGTGATGCTAAAATAGATACATTTGTTTTTTAAAGCAATACATCTCGTCTAAACTTCTATTTATTAGTCAAATTAGTCTTGGAAAAATATGATATTTGGTATGACTATGAGAGAATTGTTTATAAAGTAGTATAAAATGTAGGGAAATGATGTAATTAGTTAACTGGTTGTCCAATCTTCTGTTCATCTAAAAGACTTTGATTTCAGATTGGATGCCTTCAGGTTTTACATAAACATTCAGTCTTGCTCTTAGATTGCCATTGTATTTATATTTACACTAAACATGAAGATATTCCAACTTTTTGTCAAGTCTACATCAAACATCTACTTGTACATGTACATTACCAACATCAAAAATATGAAAATAACAAATCCTCCTAAAATTTGATAGCTCTGATGTTTGTCAAAATATATGCATCACTTATTTGCTGTCATATATTTTTAATGTGCATGCCATTAAGTATCCATTACTCTCCATGGTTTACCATTTTAGATCAGAGCTATATTTCATTGCAAATGAACATCTTACACAGAGAGAGAGAGAGAAAGGGAGGGGCTCTTTTTGAGTATCAGATCGAGTATTGAAGTAAACTGGCATATTCTATCCTTTCAGTTTGAAATTAGACTTAATTTTGTTGGGGGAAAAATGCTCATACATTCATTTCCAGTACCGTATACTTTCATTAGGAGATGAAAAGTGTTCATTGTAGGTTTTAACTATTAAAGAAGAAGAAGAGAGAACATGGTCCCAGATCAACAAGTTACACATTTTTCAGGTTCTATGATTTTGGCCATAACTGGTTTATTACTTTATTGCAATACATGATGTTTTTTGCTTTTGCCAAATGAGATTTAAACAAATAAAAAATTCATGAGTTTACTTGAAAAATGCTCATGTTCTTGACTGTATCAATTCATATCTTTCTGAATTGTGTGACAAAGTTGTAGGCCTGCCTGTGTAGTCTACACATTTATCTTCAGGGTTTCTCAAAATTGTTTCAAATGCAACGAACCATATTCAAAGTACCAGGACAGTCTTTGAATCCCCCAGTTGTTGTGTATTTTACTGAAGATGTACACTTTTCCTACTTTGGTTCTTCAATGTTGTGAAATTTGTGCTTTTCCTGCTGACATCTTGAAAAATAAGGCCTACATTTCAGGACACTTTTTTAAAAATTCTGTTCAGTTGATATGCTGTTCTCAACCTTTACAGAGACCTTTGTATATCATGCACAGCTAATAAAACATTTACATACAGGTATTATTGATGCTCTGTAATGAAATGTTTGAAAAACTAAATGCCTCTCCAAGGAAAAAGAGTGACCTGGTCCCTACCTAGTTGTTAATTTTGTATATTTTGTTTGAAACTTACTTTTTTACGATAGAAACTGAAGAAGATGCCCCAGTCACATCGCCCGTTGAATTTGGGCAGAGCACAGAGACGGGCAACACACCTACTGAACGGAGACAGCCTTATGCCAACTCATCAGGTATGTAGTCATCCCTCCCTTTTTTAATAAGTCCAATTTTTCATCCATTGGTCTGGATTTTCAGGTATCTCATTCTCGGATCATGATTAAGAACCCTGTATAATGATCGAAGATTTGGCCTAAATTTGATTGTGTCTGATGAGTGGTATATCATATCAAATAATTAGAGATAAAATTTGCACCTTTTTTAAAAAGAAAATTGGAAACCAGCATTACAAGCCCATTCCTTTAAAAAAAAAATCCTGTCATATGATGAGTAAAATCTGAAATTTGGATTGCCGCACCAAATGAAGAATCACTGTTGCAGATGCAAAGTAGGGTCATCCTTTCCATTTTCAACATCAATTAAGATCTTTTTTAATGTAAGTTTAATCTAGCTTTTGGATGTTGATGTTATTATGGGATTCTACTAGCTGATTAGCAATTGTGTACTCCTTGTTGTTAGTTTGAGAAGATACCACTTGATGTACTTGTGAATTTATGGCATGGAATTTCATCAGTCAGAAAGCTTGAAAGAGATATGAAGAATTTAAAACTACAGGTGTATAACTGTATATGGTATCATATTTATAGCAAGTACCCTCATTATTATTGATGTAATCCATCTGCATGGCATATCATTCTGCCAGGTTTTCACTGTTTGTAGTCCAGTTATGTATGGCCCAGTGAGGGTCGTTGTAGTTATCATGGCAGCCCCTATAGGCCAAAACAGCATACCAACTCCCCATTCTAAAGCGTTCTGTGTCCCTGGCTCTCTGTTGCTCTATCTCCCTCATTCTTTGTGATCTTTCTGCCTCTGAAAGGAATGAATAGAGCCTCCTAGAGTAACAAAACAGAATCTGGTATTTGGGCTGCCATTGTTGGTTGTGGTCTTCTCAATGCCTCATTGTTTGATTTAGCTCTGATTGTTACATTGACACATATGTGCTTGATAGTATTTGAGTAAACTGATGATTTTTTTTCCCCCTTTGCTCGTGCTAACAAAGATGTTGTATCATGATATGGCTTCTTTTAAACATAGTCGTACTAATACTCCTTAAAGCCTGCACTAAACCATGGTCCTGTGACTCCTATCTAGGTATACATGTACATATTTTTCTTACAAATAGTTGCATTGAAGGTTTTGCCATATAAACATTAGAACTGATGAATTGTAGAGAAATCTTTTGTTTGGTATGACAACATACAGATAAACAAATATTTTACCTTTGAATGTTATTTGTTTGTTTGATTTTTAGTCCATGATTGTTTCTTTTTACCATGCAATTTCTTATAGCTCAGTTGAAAATGAGTGGATCTACACAAAATGTTGTTAAAGTGGAAGTATTTTCCCCAAAGGAATATCTGCTTAAGCTCCTAAAACATATCAGAACATTAAGCTGCCCTGGAATGAAAAGATCTTAACAAAACTCATTAAAAACCCGCTCATCTATTCTTTTGGCTAGAATCATGATTGAAAAGTAACAAGTTGTCACCTCCTTAGCTTCCCCAGTCACGCCTCCCAAATCGCATTTGAGCTTGCCTACGACTTTGCTGCCGTACATTATAAATGTGTGTGGTTTGGTTTGCACGATGACACATGCTCAGTGACAACGTATGTTCATGATTGGATTGAAGGGATAACATTGGCGCCTCCGCTCATCCCATTCATAGAGCCCCGGGATTTGATTACTGGTTATATTGCCCTCACACCTGCACCATGCCTCCACAATGCCTCCACACTGAACCTCACCAGTGTGTGGCACATGCAAAGAGGTCACTGAGCTAGCTCAGCTCACGCGCATGTTTAAACGAACGAATGAACCACCGTCCATGTAGGCAAGGCAGTCTGTAAAGGTTGTGGCATGCATAATGTATCAGGTTTTGAATGTGTATTGTGCTGTTAAAGGTGGCCATGCCACTGTTTTTTCTGCTGATAAGGTTGGAGATGTCTTGTAGAGAGAGCTATTTTGATTGTGTATTTGTTACCTTTCGAAATAGCAACAGTACTATGAGCCTGAACATAACTCATCGCTATGATATTTTAGATCTTTTCACTTGATTTCCAAATTTTACATGTACACAATTATTTTAATGTTAAAATCACTACATTCAATGAATTTCTGAAAGAATAATGAAGGATAGAGTTGAGTTACTGTTACCAGCTTGGAAAGCAAAATAATTGTAATTTCCCCAGGGATGTAAATGTAATCGATAAACCTGTCCTAGTTATAAATATTGATTTGGAGAAAAAAAGGAAGTACAGCACAATAAACATACTGTAGCAATGTCAGTAACATGTTCAGAGTAGATATCAGTAAGACAGTTTTCATGCATTTTCTTGAACAGATTTGGAGCAGTCTGAATGGAAATGGTTTGTTTTCATATCATGCTCTTGAATTATATGTAGCAAGGTTTACATTTTGTAATGTGAAAGGATGCAGTTTGGGGGAACCTTGCTTGTCCTCTCTTACTTGAATTGTTTACTATCCACAACCTGGTACACTACATTCCTGCAAGGACACTCATGATAAATGACCCTCTCTCTACCTCTATCCCAAAATGAACAGCTTATCTGCAACATAAAAGTAAAACATACAAAGGCGACCCCTTTATTACTGGGGGATTTAGGCTTGAATAGGCAAGTGGATAATGGGCGTTTGAATGGGGGTGGGGTGCATATAAAGGCGCTCTTTACCCAACAACATGAATTCTGTCTCCATTTTGGTATTTGAGGAGTCATTACATTCATGGCCTCAATGGTGAATAGTACACCCTTCTTTTCTTCTGATCCTCAACTTTGAAGAAAGGCAAAGAATAGGTTCCAGAAGACTAAAGATTGGCCAGGAATTAGGGCCAACTTTCTGGAGTAGCTGTGCATTTCGGATCTTTCTTTTCTCCCTTTATATATTTCCCCCAGCTTACAATACATTGTGAGTTTCTGCAATAGCATTGAAAAGGAGGCAGTGTGTGGCTCATTGAGCTTCGACAATGGCGCATCTTTTTTCCATAATGGCCTGATCTGACTGTGCTCCGCTGTGGAGCCTCTTTTGATGTCACGGAGGCTAGCCCTCTTTTGGAAGTCAAAACTCCCCTGGTGCCCAAACTAATGAGGCTGTTATTATGCGGAGGATAATGCATTGATTGAGGAGAGCTGGCGTCCAGCAGGGTCTAGTGGACAACAGATGAGACTCGCATCGTGGAGGGGGAAATGGCAAGAGAGAGAGAGAGGGAAGGGAAGAAGGGATAATGACAAGGATAGATTATAGAAAGATGGGTAAAAACTCAAAAGACCTACATTTTGTACATGTAGATGCTTGAACAAAATGAACTTCAGATTTTCATTTGCAAGAATTGCATTTACTGTTTTTCTCTGTTAGGGCTTGCGAGACTACAGTTGTTGGATTCAAGGTAAAAGATACCCCTCACTGAAATGCAGTAAAATGATAATCATATTCGGAGAGAAAGTACCATGCGATGTACTACGTCTTGGTGTTGTCCTGGTTTCCCCCGAATGCTGATTAGATTATGCCTAACATGCAAATGCACGCTCAGTTGGGTGAAGCTCGTTCACTTCAATTCATCTACTATAGATGCAGGGAGGAAAAACGGAGGTAGTAGAGCTGGCGTAGTATGCAATGTTTATGACCTGGCGACTGGCGAGGACAGAGAGAGAGAGAGAGAGAGAGAGAGAAGGAGAGAGAGAGAGAGAGCAGAAGATGGTGGAGATTGATTTCTGATGAATTTGCCGAGGGAAAGTGAAGGCATCTTCGTTGTAAGCTCTCTGAAGCCGATCTTGTAGTTGCAATGTCGTTTCTCATTACAGTGTACCGAGATCAATACGTTGCCCAGGTCATATTGTGCCAGTGCTACGGCTAGCGTAATAAGTGTATGTTTATTAATGAAGTCCTCCTACATCTATTTGTACACAGTGCATCAAGAAATATGAAGAATATAATTCAGTTATTCATCAGCTTGACAAAACTACATCAAACATGTAAGTCTAACAAAAGTCTAACAAGATGATGACATTAAAAAATTGGTGTAGATTGTACTCTAGAAGGAAGTGGGCTTACTTACAGAAGCTGCTTTTGTACAGATCTGGCCAGGTCTGCATGTATTTTGCCTGATATTTTGTGTTTGTGGCCTTTTAAATTTCCATGCACAAGGTTTTTCCATTCACCCAAAAATGTCAATTTTGAGTATGCGTAAAATTGCAAGAAGAAGTAAGTGGTAAAGCATGCTCGTGGATCAGTTTTGCGAGAGATGTGGGTAATTATAGCTTTGATGAGTTTTACATAATGTTGGTGCTTCTGCTCGGGGATTTAAGCCATCATTTTCAATAATGGTTGACTTGTAAAACAATCACAAAATTTATCATTGTTCAGAGTGATCTGCTCAAACTTTTATTCTTTTACTCTCAGTAAACCATTAACTGAAGCTAAACCAATATTTTATAGGAAAGCCGTTTCCCTGGCATTTTAACATGAAAGGAAAATATGGTAGGCCTACATATATATGTACAACTTGTACGTGCTGTTTACACATCAGTACAATGTAGATACAATGGTTCATGGTATCTGTGAACATATGCACATGTACCTGAGGCCTATAGCCCAACATGCTGGTCAGCTACATGTAATCGCTGTTACGATCTAGCAGAAACACCCCCCCCCCCCCCCATCTATCTGTACAGCAACTCTAGAGTGTGGCATTATACATCCGGACTTATACTTGACATGCTAACTCTTAATACTCCCTGCACTCTGAAGGCCCAACTCAGATCGACAAATATTTACAGAAGGGATATGCCCAAACTCAAGACATACTTGTGCTGAAGGCCCTGTACAGCGGGATAGGGCTGCCTGACAGTATCAAGGGGCATAAAATACATAACCCAAGATTTGGCTCTCTTTACAAATTTATTTTCCCCATTTTTACCCCTTCCACCCTTCATCTTTGTAGATGTAGGCTTTGATTAATGAGGCAACGGCTAGCTGTAGTTTCTGCCCTTCTGAAAA